CCCTCAAGCAGATCGACACTCCTGCCCGACTTGATGTCACCTGCAAACATACTGAGGGTGCCCTCGATCCTCTTGTCCAGATCACTGATAAAGATATTATACAGAACTGGCCCCGATACTGAGCCCTGGAGAACACTACTTGTGACTGGCCTCCAACTGGATTTAACTCCGTTCACTACCACTCTTTGGCCCTCCAGCCAGTTTTTAACCCAGCAATGAGTACACCCATGTGAGCCATGAGCAGCCAGTTTCTCCAGAAGAATGTTGTGGGAAACAGTGTCAAAGGCTTTAGTAAAGTCCAGCTAAACAACATCCACAGCCATTCCCTCATTCACTAAGTGGGTCACCTTGTCATAGATGAAGTTCAGGCTAGTCAAGCAGGACCTGCCCTTCATAAACCCCTGCTGACTGGGCCTGATCTCCTGGTTGTCCTGTATGTGCTGTGTGATGGCACTTGAAATGGTCTGCGCCATAACCTTCCCAGGCACCAAGGTCAGACTGACAGGCCTGTAGTTCCCCAGATCCTCCTTTCAGCCTTTCTTGTAGATGCGCATCACGTGCTAAAGTCCAGTCAACTGGGACCTGCCTGGTTATCCAGGACTGCTGATAAATGATTGAAAATGGCTTGGTGAGCACTTCCGCCAGCTCCCTCAGTACGCTTGGGTGGATTCCATTTGGCCCCATGGACTTCTGTGTGTCTAAGTGGTGTAGCAGGTTGCTTACCATTTCCCCTTGGATTATGGGGATTATTCTGCTCCCCGTCCCTGTCTTCCAGCTCAGTGGGCTGGGTACCTGAAGAACAACTGGTGTTACTATTAAGGAGTGAGGCAAAGAAGGCATTAAGTAACTCATCCTTTGTCACTATGTTTCCCCATGCATCCAGTAAAGTATGGAGATTCTCCTTAGCCCTCCTTTTGTTGCTAATGTATTTATAGAAACATTTTTTGTGGCACTAGCCAGATTAAGTTCTAGTTAGGCTTTGGCCCTTCTAATTTTCTCCATGTGTAACCTCACAAAATATTTGTAGTTTTCCTGAGTTGCCTGCCCCTTCTTCCAAAGGTCATAAACTCCCTTTTTTTTCCTGTATTGTCTTGAGAGACTGGAATGCTGTTTCACCAGTATTATGATCTTCATTACAGTCTCTACATCTGAATTAAGCTGGTTTATATTTCCTGTTTTCAGGTGAATGACATAACAAACTAGTAATTAATTGTTTCTGATGTAACAAGCTAGTAATTTATTGTTTCATTGGTGGAGGATTTTCTTTTTTGTGTGTGAAGAAACAACAAAAAAGTCTCTTTTAAAGTGTAGGTAATTGTAGATGGATACTTTTTTCGCAATCCTTTCTTTAGTAGTCTGTTACACTTGATAGTGATGGTAACGAACAAAAAGAAACTAATCAATTTGCATCATGATTCAGTATATTCATGTTATACTGTGAGACTGCAGTCATGGGCAAAGCTATCAAGAGATGAATCACAAAGTAAGTAAAGTTGGTATAGATTTGGAATAGAGTTCTTCCTCTGTTGTGCCATAAAACAAAAACTGTCTTCTAGCATAAAAAAATTGTTCATGAAGTTGATATTTGAGACTAAGTAAAAAAGAAGAATGGAGGGAAAACCCCTATTTTTTCAAGAATTGTTTAATTTGTCTGGAATCAAATAGCTTATGTTTCAACAAGAGCTGTCATGCTAAAACCAAATCTTAATAATGAGACTGAAAATGCTGAGACTTGTAGGAAGGGTAATCCAGTGAAGTTTGGAGGACAAGCCCTGAGACTGCTCTAAAAAGCTGGGAAGCATGTTTTACATTTGCTTGCTACTAAGGTAACGGAAACAAGTTTCCATGGCTTTGGACCCAGGTGTGCTTTTCCACTGCAAGGTGCAATCCTTTAACATTTCTCTTGTGTATAGCATTAAAGTTTTGTAATGTAGGCTAAGCAGAAGAAAGAGCACGAGATAGAGGAGCTTCAAAATTAACTCAATGAGGTGGTGTAAGACTGTTTTAAACTGTGTTCACATGTTGAGCAAGGTGAAATTTACTCATGAATGCAGGTGGTAAGAGAATACTGCAAAACCTAGCATGCCGACCTGCGCAGTCAGTGTGGGTAGGCTCTTACTACTGCATCTGCACGGGATTACTGATGACGTGTGTTTGGCAATGTTTGATATCTGGGCAGGGTGATCTGCTTGGTGACTGTGGGTCGGAGAAAACTGGCAGAGTCCTTTGGAGCCTGAAGACTGACAGGACCAGACTTGCATGGGCAAGCACTAAAGTAGTGAGATCAGCAAAATACAATGTAGGCCATGGAAGGTGTGACATTCAGACCTGGGTTAGACGAGCTTTGCTTCTAATCATCAATGCTAATTGCCCTTAATGAGACGCTTGCAAGTGGGAGACCTGGATGTCCAAGTCGTATTGCACAGCTAATTTTTTCTGTTGGGCCTAGTAAATATTTCTTAAACTAAATTTAAAGATAAAACTTATCCAAAAGAAATAGAAGAGCCTTCTTTACAGGAAGTATTTTTGACCTGTTACTGCCAAACGGTTTTAATGAAGAAAAGTCAGGAGCTTTTTCTTGTTTCACGAGCATATTCTTGCAGCTAGCCCAGTGCGCTTTTTCTCAGCATGCCTAGTGGTTTTGTGGATTTTGGGGGCTTTTAAATGGAGCTTTAGTTTTCCTTCGACTTACTTTGAAGCTGTCCATTTTCTGTGTAGAATTTGAATTCGGAAGAATTTCTCCCCTCAATGCAGGTTGCAGCACTACTTACTTGCCTTTAAGAAACAACTGCAATGAATTTACATGTTTTTTTGTTTCTTTTGTTTTAGGTCTTAAGCATCCAAGTGAAATGTTACCATGAAATCATTACTATAGGTTACAGGGTCTACCACTCGTATGATTTACCATGGTTTAGATCCCTCAGCTGGTGAGTAGCAAGCAAGAACATTCATAGGGATGCGAAACGTAAATCTTCATGTTCTTCCTATCCTGTCATGGTGGTATGATAGCTTTGCAGGTCATGTGCTGACATAGAATTTGACATCTGTCTCTCATTCTGTGGTTGTCTTCCACCTGTGAACTTGGACAAGTCAGCCTTTTACTACTTCAGCTTTTTTCCTTTTTATAAATATGTATATATGTACACATATATATGCATGCATATATGCTTTAAGTTAGAATTCAGCATGTGAAAGCTATCTAAAAATGTGCATAGCCAAATAGTGACCTGATATGTATTATCTGAACTGCTTTATTTTTTTTGTTTTTGGCTGTTAACCTTGTACAAGAAATAAATAAAACAGGTACCTTAAAGGCTCCTCTTCACACACAGCGAGAATCAAAATAATGACACACAAGTTTTAAATCCTTTCATGTCCTTAATCACAGGATTGTGTAAATATAGTATGAAGGGGTCTTCTGAAAGCCAAAAGATGAGATTAATTTTTCTGGCAAATCCCCAGATACTTGTGACAATGTCTAGCTTATACAAGGCTGGATAGAACTGGGGAAATGAACCCTTCTTCTGAGTTCTGGGAGGAAAAATAAAGGCTTTTGGTTAGAATCAGCATTACAGGAAGGTGTTGAACACATGTAGTCTCTAACGTGTGTAAGGACATAATTCTTCAGACATGACCTATATTGTGTCATTTTGGTTTTGTGTTGGGTTTGGTTTTTTAAGGAATTGAAATATCTAGGTTATTCCCTGTCTCTTGTCACATTGCTTCTTCACTTCTACAAGCAACTTTACTGTGTAAAGTGGTGGATACATGCTAATCAGTTCCCCTCTGATCACTCCTGGATTATCCAGGGGACTGACCTATTGTCTACTTTATTCCCTGGCTTCTGGATCTACAGCTAGAGCAGACTCATACATGAATGATGCTGCGGTCTTGCCAGAATTTTTAGAGGAGGAGATGTTTAGTCTACTTTTGGCGGTTGACCACTGTCACTTTCATATGTGGAGCTCAAAATCAACTCCTCTGTATTGCCACACCAGTTAACGTCAAATTTCCTTTCAGTTCCACATCTTGCCACTGAGACTAAATATTAAGACATTTCAATGAGATGAGAGAATCCTGTTAGTAGTCTGAACATCAAGTGTTGGGCTTATTTAGAGTTGTGAAGCCTTGCAAAGGGAGCGTTAACATCTATCGGGGGAAGAGAACGAGTACCGATCCCTCTGAGACTATCCGGAGATCCAGTCTTGAATCACAAGTTTTTGTCTTCTGTTCGATGACTTTGGTAATAAGCTGAAGAGCACGTTGACCTGAGAGGTGCATCTCTTAGTGGTTTTGGATTTGCTATTTATTGGTGTTTGTTGAGTGCTGCCTTGGCATTTGAGGATCCCATTGTGACTTAACTCTAGCAAGCTGAGTAACAGAACTTATATGAAAACCTGTGACAATTACTTGTGTACTGACTGTTTTGACTGAAAGGAATTTCTCTGAAGATCCTTCAACAAGAGATGGCTGAAGGTGTCATTTCACCTCAGTTGAACCTTGGGTGTGGACCTACTCATACAAAATTGTCTTGAAAATGTTGTAGTAATAGCTGCACTTACTAGCTAGTTGATGGATCTAACCCTGTAAGATTGCTGCTTGGTCAAGAAAGCTAAAAAGCAAAAAGCGTGGTGGAGTGGAGCAGGACATGCAGAAGTAACTCTTTCAGATGAGAAACTTCAGGCCAGATGGCAAAAGTACAGTTACATTCAGATCCTCAAGTCCCATGTCAGATTTACTGTCCTATAACCTCATTATGCAAGTGCCTTTTTTCCTGTTTGTAAGGCAGAAATCACAAACTACCATTATTAGGATACAGGAAAAGCATATGAAGAATTGCTTATGTCAATATTGATGATAGCAGATACTTGTTCTGTACTTTTAGAATGTCAGAAAAGGACTTGCATAGGTGTGGAGTATTCAATACTGTAGTTAAGGATGAAATGAATTTCCTAGCTGTATCCTGCAAAATGCGTTTGGTTTTTTAGTGTGGTTGCTTTAGAAGAAGTAAATTACAAAACTCAGTTTGTCAGAGGAGACACTGACCCAGAAGTATAAGAATGGATTTATACCTGAATTTTATTTTTATCGTGTCTTTTCTACCCTTCTGTTTTTCCTTTCGTGTTGTGATTTTTGTTTTGTTTTTTAAGAATGACACTGAAATATATATCATCTTGTTAAAATAACTGCTAGCGGTTGTATGTTGTAGGTATTTTTTGCTGTGTGGGAACTACTTCTTTTATGGAGAGACTGTAGCTGATTACTTCGCTACATTTGTTCAGAGAAGAGAACAGCTTCAATTCCTAATTCGTTACCACAGGTTTATATCTTTTGCACTCTATTTAACAGGTAAGTGTAGGACATTGCAAAAATGAAAGAACTTTGTGCTGCATTTGTTTCTGTGCTTATTTCCTGATTTTAAAAAAATAATTGCTTCCCAGCTTTATGCACTTTCAGTTTCTTTTTCCTACGGATGTTTGAGGAAATTAGGTGCTCGCAGTTCCATTTTTCCTGTGAAAAGTTGAATATAAATTTTGTGTTCACTGAGAAGAAAAAAGAAGCCTAAACAAGTAGATGATGTTGAGAAAGTTGAGCTAACAGTGCTCAAGAGAAGCTGGCCTGAATTAATTTTGATCACTGAAGAACTGAGGCTCAGTAGCTGAATACATGAATACTATTTTGGCAGCCTGTGGAGATGACTTGTATGTGTAATTGCTGTGCTGGATTGATGCTTTATTGTGCAAGTGTTCTGCTAAGTCTATAGCAAATCTTAATTTACCAATATATTTTAAACTGATTATTCAAAATGCCTGAGGCTTTATTTTGTCTGCAAGATATTCAGATGCTTGCCTCATGGATGGATTTTCCTCCCTATACAAAAAAGAGGCTTTCTAAAAGCCTCTTCTCTAGGAGGAAGAAACATAAGCTGGCCATCTTGTGTGGTCTTGCTTTGTGAACCTTTAAATAAAGTCCACAGTGTTCTCACCAATGCAGTTTACTTTAGCCTAAAATTAAATCAATTGAATACTCAGATTGGCCTAAGGGACAGGTGACTGCTACACTACAAATATTTGTAGACTATACTAAGAAACCTGATCTTCGTGATGACCTGTCAGTCTGTCTGAAACCAGATAAAAATTCTACTCGGTGCTTAGATCGCAAACTTGAAACCAGGTTTGCAAGACTTGACCTTTTTCAGCTGGCTTTGGTTTGAGGAACCTAACTTAACTTAACGCCTTGTGACCGCTGAAGGGCGGTGAGGGGAGAGATGAGACAAGCCAGTCATGAGCAAAAGCAGGAGGCAGAGTGTAGCAGAGCCCCTCGTTAGCCATCCGGAATGTTTCTTTCAGTCAGTTGAATTCTCCAATGCCTGCACTTCACGTTTGCATTGCATGCAGCCATATGCCTGTCTGGGGGAAAGGGGCAAGCTGGTCTTTTCCTTTCAATTATTTCTGTTTATTATTCAAAACCAGCTTGTTGACCTGGTTTTTGAGTGGTTTTTACAGGAGATGGCCTCCTCCCCTAAAAATTGATGTCTATGGTGGGACCTTGTAGGTAATGGAATGGATGCTCTCTACTGCTGTTAACCAAATCGTGTGTTCTAATGAGAATAATTGTATATGTACACTCAACTGAATACAAGCAAACACTTCTAGCAGCAGAGAGGTTAAAAGTTACTTCAAGGGAAGATTACTGGTTTATCATGGTTCAGTGTAACTAAATATAAGATGGTACAAACTACACTTGCTTTGTTTTACAGGCTTCTGCATGTTTGTTTTGAGTTTAGTGAAGAAACATTATCGTCTGCAGTTTTACATGGTGTGTATTACCCACTTTGCTGTGGTCACATTATGAATGTCACTAGAAACAGTCATGTCCCCTATATTGATAAATTGATATTGGAAGAGGGATGTGGAAAATGTGCTTAAACCAACAGTAACATGAAATCAAGCAGTGTTGTGCTGTTTGGTATCTGCCCACCTTGCAGCTTATTATGGGATGTGGCCTTTCCATCAATACAAGCTGTCATTGGTGAGGCCCTGTGCATGTATGTGATACCTTTCCCTTAGCGGTAGGCTGATACAAAAGAGATTCCTGGAGAAAGGAGTATGCACCTACCACCCGGGTCTGAAGCCAAATAGTTCAGCATAGCATGGGAAGCGGTTCTTGTGATTCAAGTGTTAACTTTGTAGAGGCCCCACTGAAGTACTTTGAAAGGAGCTTGATCTTAACACGTATGTGGAAAATTCATTCTGTAACACTTAAAAGCAGTTCTGGTCTTCTACTCTGCTGTGCCTCAATAGGTCATAATCTATTAAAAGAAACCAGTGTTCTCATCTCTTGTATTTGTGCACCTAATAAACAGTATAGTACCTAATCAAGAGCACGAACCTTTTTATTATATGTATCTTATAGGTCAAAAACTGATTCTGTAACATCACAGGTAAAAATAGACACCCAAAACCAAACCAAACCCCCACTGAACTCGCCCCCCCACTTCTATATAGGAATGATTAGAAGCAACAGTAAAACAGTAATGCAGTACAGCTCCTGTATTTAAAGAACTTGAGCAGTCAGGGCATTGCAGAACCTTAAAGATTTCCTAAAGCTCTGAGCATGCAGTTAACTCCTCTGTTTCTACAGTGCTTTAGGTAGCACTTTACCATTGAGGATCCCTAATTCTAGACTAGGACTTAGCTGAGCCCTGTTTGAGTAAAAAAAAAAAAAATTTACTCAAAAAAATTTACCCCGTTTGTGGGAGAACTTGCCTGACAGGGAGATGCAGCTTTTTTAGGAGGTGGTCTTTATCTTCTAATCTGCAAAAAAAGTCCTTATCTTCAGATTGGTACAAGGTAAACATACTAATTTTCCATGTTTTTTTTTTTCTTTTTCCCCTTGTGGAAAGAAGGCAGAAAAAATGTGGTGTTGGTCATATGACTCAGGGCCTGCCCAGAACACACTGAGGTGTGACTATCTAAGAATTGCAGTAAAACAGAGGGAAGCTGTGTGTCCGCTGTGTGGCAACAGAGTGTATGGACAGACAAGGAGAGCAGCCATTTGGTTTTAGGTGGTGTTCCAATATCACTGTACAAATACTAAAAGTTTTGCTGCAGACATACTTTAATTGACCAGCAGGTAGTATTTTCAGAAAACTTTAGTCAGTTCTTGCACCCCTGCTTTCAGCCTTGTTGAGTTGTCTTAACTAGAAGCAGATGCTGGCTGTCGTAGGAAAACATATGTGATAAGAGAATTAAAGTAGCAGGATGTTCTGAATGTTAAATTGCCCAGACATTTAGAGTGCTTAACTTTGGTGTTTTGTGAAAAAACTACCAGTCCTTGATTCAAAAGTTTTTGGAAAATAAAATCTATTGTAGAATCTTTACTGGTAAACTGTTTGGAAACCACTTTATTGTACACTGTCACTACAGAATAAATACCAAGTATGTACAGTAATACTGAGGAAAATGACTGTTTAAATGACCATGTGCATAAAAATTAACACTTTTTTTTCACTAACCCTGAGAATTTTCATGTGTCATAAGAGGACTGGTATTCTGTTACGAGAGATATCTACATCTGTGTAATATGACTCTCTCGTGAGTAGTTCATTGCTATTTTATTGTTACAGTTCTAACATGTCTGTTATATGTATATACAGAATATCACATTGCTTACATTTCTTTGCTACTTTCATGCTGAAGGTGTATGTCTTATTAAATCAGATGTTAAACTGCACATTAAAAAATTCTGGGTGTTGGTAAGTGGTAGGGAAACCTGTTAGAGTTTCAGTCCTTGCTTCAGAAAGCCAGCTAACTTGTGATATACTGTATGCACACATCTCTTACATTATCACTAGAACTGGTCTTTCCTATGAACTCCTAAGTAGCTTCTCTAGCTGACACACCAGTATTTATCAAGGTGTGTGGATCAGTGTTTTCACTAACTGTTGAATTGTTGCATTGTTAACAGTTCGCATGGACTCATGTCACTTTGCTGATCACTGTAACTCAATCTCATCTTGTCATCCAAAATCTCTTTGAAGGCATGATCTGGTAAGGGGACAGTAATAAACTGATTTGTAAATCTGTTGCATTGAAATGTTGGTTCTTTTACATAGATCTAGTTAGGGAATAATTGTGGGAACAGTTAAAGCAGCACAAATTAAAGGAGTATTAATGCCTAGTTGGAAGGGGAGTTGGAGGGAGTAAGGAAGTAGAGGATACAGGAGAGGAAGCAGAAACCTCTGTAACTAAATTGGCAGCCACAAGTCCGATAGTTTTGAACAACCACTTCATTTACTTCAAGGAATGGGATTGTTTCCATGCTTGGTGAAATTGTTTCCATAGTATTCTGCTGAATGGATGAATATCCGGCAATTCTTCTTCAATTACTTGGGAGCTTCAGGTTGCTCGTAGCTATTGAAGTTGGACCATTTAAATTGAAATCCTCAATCTGGCCACCTGCCCTGCCACCTTCAATGTTCAGATAAATTCAGATTACTTAAAAAAAAATATTTTGAGAGTTTAAATCTTGGATATTATTGGGTCATCTTAGTGCCTCATTTCCAGTGATATATTCAATTCTGATGAGGCAGTTAAACTTGATTACGTAAAACCGCTCCTCAAAGAGAGGGTGTGTTTTCCCATCCCCCACTTCTTTAGAGACAGGGTGAATTACAAGTTGAGAAAGAAGCAGCACATGGAACATGATTTGTGTTCTTCAAAGGACATAATACTGCGTGTTCTCCTTTTTCTTTTCCTGATATATGTACAACTGGGGAGATTATTGCAGAAAAGTCATGCCCATAGTTAGAAAGAAAACCCAAAGTCTTTGACAATGTCTGTATTAACATATTCTTTTGATAATGATCATGTTCATGTGCCAAAAACTGAAGCTAGTTGCCTTGCTAGCCTACTATTTCTTATTTCTACTGGTGCTAGGCAATTTGGCAGATGATCACAAAATCTGACTTTTAGCTTATTAATACATCCTTACTTTGAAAATGGGGAAAAAAAAATAAAAAGAGGTTAATAGCCTTGAGTAACAAATTCAGATGCTGTCTTTATGCAAAGAACACTTAGAAAGCTCACACAGGCTGCTCCAAACTGACAAGAAGAAAAAAAGGAAAACTTTTTTTTTTCATTTAGGTATCATTAAATTTTACAAAGTATTTGCTTGCTTTGATGTTACCAATAACATTAACATGTTTATAACTGTTGATTTCTTCTTAACTGTCATACCAGTCTTCAAGCCTGATAGGAAAAAGCCAGCCTGTTCACGTTTTAAGTTCATGCAAAAAATCATATTTTAACTTCAGCTAACATGGATCTGTAATGGTCTTGATTGGCTGAAGACTAAAACCAGTACAGTTAAATATGCTGCTCATGGGGGAACTAGGTGAACACATTATGAAACATAATTCTTTCTAAATACTACAGAAAAATTTCCCAGAAAGGCAGGCTGCTGTTTCAGTTTCTGTCCTGTGTTTAGATTTGGGCAGCTTTCCTTTTTCTCCATGAAACCTTTAATGTCTTTCTCCAGGTTTCTGGTTCCAATTTCAAGTGTTATCTGCAATGATATTACTGCTTACATTTTTGGATTCTTCTTTGGCAGAACTCCATTAATTAAGGTTTGTACTTAGGCACTTCCTCACTAACAAGCTTTTACAATTTATAGCATTTTTGATACTTGTTCAAAAACAGAAATGCAAAAAATCTTTCCACTGTACTGCAAGATACACATATTTGCTAAAAAAACAAATTTACTATCCTGTTTCTGAAGATTTGTAAGGAGAAACAGGGATTAATGTGAATGTAATATTGACATTACAGTATAATATAGTTCGAGCCTATTGCATCATCATTTGTAATGGTTTCCTTTTTGGATTTCATATACAGGTTTAACTGCATGCTTACGGTACAGAAACTGTAATTTGAAATAAGATGCCAGGTCATGTATACCTATTCCTTATCTGATCTCATTGACATAGCACTGAGAAGGGCTCAAGTAGTAATCTTCCTGTTCTGGTAGAATATGCAAGACCCCTCAGAAAGCCATGAATTATTATTTTCATGATGTTGCCGTGTTAACTTTTGGGTATTTAGTTGGTTCTGATATTAAACTGCTCCTAAATTGAAAATGTGATGGAACTTGCTGAGGAAAATAGCTTGCAACGCTGGTCTCTCTAGGCCTCCAGCTATCTGCTGTATCAGTTTGTCAGTCTGCATGTAGGGAGCTAGTGTCTCCCGAGGAGTGTCCCCAGCAGTAGCTGTCTAACACCCAGGCTTCTGTCTCTATCTAAATGCACACTTGCTAGCAGAGGTCTCCAGCAGAGCCATAGCACGCTCATGCAGGTTTCCAACTCTTCTGCTTGAAGCAGCTCAGCTGTGTAATCAGGCTCAGCTGTGGCCAGAGGGCAGGCAGCAGCCTCTGTACAGCAGCAGCAGATGGGAAGGGAGCTCTCCATTCCCTCAAGCTGCCGAGTGGCACCAACCCAACGGTGGCACTTTCCGCTCCTTGCCTGGGACAGGTCCTAGCCATATTCCTCTATTTATCATATTCAGTGAGTGCAGCTGCTGGTGTTCAGTATTTCACACATACCTTTGAAAACCCAATTAGGAGCTTAACTTTCACAAACAAGGTCCAGAAATAGAGTAAAAAGGGGTTCAGTGATACAATTGATGAGGCTAATGCTATCTCTTTTGTGCCTAGCTGTCTCCCAAGAAGACGTGGGAAGGGTTCATTGGAGGCTTCTTTTCCACAGTTATATTTGGATTTATTGTAAGTAACCATGGGACTTTCCTTGTATAGGTTCAGTCTTCAACTTCCTGTTTGTACTTGAAGTAAAATTACTGACAAATACGGTCATCTAAAAGTGCTGAAAGCCTAAGAGTTAAGTTTGTTTTTGGCTAGAGAATTCTGCAAATTCGTAACTATCTGGAAATGCTAGGCAAGGCTTGCGCCTCTCCTGAATTGGTTATATTTTTGCCAGTACTCTTAGTATATCTCGAATTGGTTTACCTATTAGTTGCATCCCTATTTTGAATATTGATAGCATTATTTATGCTTTGTGAAATAGTACTTTAGTATGACATGCATTATAATGACAAATCTCCTGGGAAGTAGTTTACACTGATGATATGCATAGAAGATAATAACAGCATACAATAACTGTTCTGATAAGTAATTTTTCACTAAGGTTGGCAGAACTCATAACTGCCAAACTTAGTAGAAGCGATAGTTCAAGTTTTAATGGAGAAGTGAACTGCAAAGAAATGAGGAGTGGCTAATATTCTGGGATTTTATAATGCAGAAACATCCAGTAGATATGAATCTGAGAGATATGAAAAGGAAAACAAGTTGGGAAATCATCACTAAGCACATTGAACGTCCACATTTTTCTCCCTTGTTGAGGCATTCTCCAGGTTACATAGGCCGATTTTACTCCTTTCTGGGTCTCTTTGTTATTAAAAAGATTTTCATTATCCTCAGCTTGCAAGGACAAAGCCATCCATTACAGTGTGATTTTTGACTGTAATAATAAATCCCTATTTCAGTAGTCCTTGTTTTGCTTTTCAGTTTTCCTATTTTTTGGCTCAGCATCAGTACTTCATCTGCCCCGTGGAATATAACAGTGAAACCAACAGATTTGTGACAGAGTGTGAACCTTCAGAGCTCTTTCAGATGAAGAAGTACTCTGTGCCACCATTGCTTCAGGCTGTGTTGGGATGGGTAAGGAAAAAAACAAGGATTTGGTTAGAATTGAAATCATACTTCCCAGCTTAAATGGTTTTCTAAACCTTTTTAGAAAGGTATGTGAATGCTGGTGAGGCTTGAAGAGTAAGAACTGGATTGATACCATGAGCCTCTCTGTTGTTCAGCTGGGGGACATGGTCACCCAAGCGGAATTGAAATGCATTGCTGAAGTCACCCAAGGAAACCTGCCTGTGTTCTTGTGGTCTCTATTTCCATTGTGCTGGAACTGGATGTCACTTAAGCATTTTTCAGAAAAACCTGTTTTTGAAGAACAACCTTTAATTTCTGTGGAAAGTGGACGAAGACTTGTTATGCCCTGAATTAGAAGCAAGCTTAAGTAATCTTGTAGAACTTCATTCCTTTTTCAGCTAGTGTGTAACTGCTGTTGGGAGTGGACTTGTACTTTCTTCATTACGTAGTGTATTGTGCATTAGGACCATTACTTCCATGCTGAGTGAAAAAGGAGTACCAGTAATAGTTCCATGTAATGCAGTCGCTGCCAACCCTTTTCCTCACACCCAGCTCGCAAATTCTTTCAAGTGAGCTGTTGTATCTTTACCTACCAGGACAGGTCATCAGTTACCCTACTGTAATAAGAAGTGTTTACGGAGTGACAGGGTCCAGAGGCACCCCAACAGGAAATGAGTACCAAATAGAAACAAAGCAGTCTGTCATTATCTTTCCTTTAGGGCAAAGAGGAGGTGACTGGGATAAACACAGAACAAATGGGTTCTGCAGTACTCCCCTTGCCTGCGCAGTGGCTCAGCGCAGAGGGTGAGTGCACAGCACTAGGGAAGGCGGCGGGCTTTACCTGTGGTTACATGGGTGTAACACTGAAGGAGAGAAGTTGATGTTACAAGAAGAAAGCACGAACTGGAAACTGTAGCAACCAAACTTAAGACTAAAAGTAATTAATGGCTACTGTTGGTATTTAGAAACAAGATTACAACTAGAAGGAGCTCTGACATTTTCGTACCAAATGAACATACTGTTTCTTCAGGGACTGTGGGGTTGATTGCAAATTTAATAAGGATTTTTCTGCACAAAAACATGATGTGGACTGAGCAAAGAGAAATCTTACTGTGTCCAGCTATATTGTGTGTTTTGATAAAAGGCAAGGACATGGGAATGAGATGGTAGTTCCAAATGCACTTCTGGAGTACTTTTGCCAGGCTCTAACGAGCATTTTGAGGAGAGAATTGCTTTTAGCACTCTTTATAGAAAGTCAAAGGAAATCTACTTGTTTGGGTAACAGCCTGTTTTGTTTTGTTTTGTTTTCCCTCTGTTACTCAATTCCTGATGTTCTCTGTCAGAAATATGACTAGATGTTATGTTTGGAAGACATTTTTTTTGGTGTCGAAAGATGTCAAGCCTTGTGTTCTCCCGACAAAATTGACTTAATAATTCAAACTCATAAACTTTTCTGTTTGACCAACTGACTATTTTAGCCTAAAAGAAAGGTGTCTTACAATAACCACACAAAGTCGTCAAGAAGTTAATTGGTGTTGGCCAGCTGTGATGCAAAGCAGAAACACAAAGTACAGGATTTTTCAGCTACTGATGGTGTTTATTGAGACTTGCCAGGTGAGGTGTGCTCTGTTTTGAGGAATGAGGCCAGCATAGTGTTCTGTCAAAGGCTGGAGCTTGTACCATTGACTTGAAAATGCTCAAAGCTAAGTTACAAAAAAAAAAACAAAACCCAACCTCAAAACCTAGAAAACCCACATGAACAAAAAAAACCTAAATCAAAAGCCCCAACAAACCCAAAATACCCCAACCAACCAAAAAAAACCACCCTTTTTTCTTATCTGTGTTGGGAAAGAAAACAGGTGCCTCTTGCCAGTGAAGTCTTTCTTATCTGTAAGAACTTGAACAGATCAAAACAATTTGAAGTCTGTGACCCGGCTGAGGGGAACAATATCTGTTTAAATGCAAACCAACAAGTTTTAATGGGTGTAAACCTTCCATCTCCCATTATTGCCCTGTGTACACAAAAGTGACAGTATGGTGGATTAGTGCAGAATTCATATCTACCTTGTGAGAGGACTTGAAAGAAGTGACAGTGAATTGCGTGAAGGTGACAAGTTTGTGGAGAGCATTGGGCCACTTAGTAGAGCAATACCAGTAGAGCTTGTGGAAAGCTCCTTTTTTACAGGAAATGGAGCTGGAAAAGCAGAGCCAGGAAAGACTAGAGAGTCCCAAACTGGGAGGTGTGGTAGATACACCAGAAGGCTGTGCTGCCATTCAGCGTGACCTGGATAGGCTGGAAAGCTGGACAGAGAGGAACCTGATGAGGTTCAACAAAGGCAAATGCAGGGTCCTGCACCTGGGGAGGAGCAACCTCATGCACCAGTACAGGCTTGGGACGGACCTGCTGGAGTGCAACTCTGCGGAGAGGGACCTGGGTGTCCTGGTGGACGTCAGGTTAACCATGAGCCAGCAGTGTGCCCTGGCTGCCAAGAAAGCCAATGGAATCCTGGGGTGCATCAAGAAGAGTGTGGCCAGCAGGTCGAGGGAGGTTCTCCTTCCCCTCTACGCTGCCCTGGTGAGGGCCCCTCTGGGAAGAGAAGGCTGCGAGGGGACCTAATAAATGCTTATAAATATCTGCAGGGTGGGTGTCAGGAGGATGGGGCCAAGCTCTTTTCAGTGGTGCCCAGTGACAGGATAAGGGGCAATGGGCACAAACTGAGGCACAGGAAGTTCCGTCTGAACATGAGGAAGAACTTCTTCCCTCTGAGGGTGATGGAGCCCTGGAACAGGCTGCCCAGGGAGGTTGTGGAGTCTCCTTCTCTGGAGATATTCAAGACCCGCCTGGACAAGGTCCTGTGCAGCTTGCTGTAGGTGACCCTGCTTCGGCAGGAGGGTTGGACTAGATGACCCACAGAGGTCCCTTCCAACCCCTACTATTCTGTGATTCTGTGATTCTGTTATGGAATTAGTGGTTATATTCCTTACGATCAGCTAAGCAATTGGCTGAAAACCACATAATTTGGTAAAGTTAACTGCTCTGGGAACCCTGAATACTTCATCTTGTTCACATGACCAGACTTTTCAGCGGCCTTCTACAGTGTGTCTACTTTTCCTCTATTTACAGTATCACTTTGTGTCAGGAAAACTGGAGCTTTGTGGAAATTCGCTCTGTAATAGCCCCATTTTAAAATGTTTAAGCTTAAAATGACTACAATCAAACATATTGAAATACAGTGCTAATTATTTTTTCTTGTAGGAAACAGTGAATATGTACCCATTTCAGATGCACAGCATTGCACTGTCAACATTTGCCTCATTAATTGGGCCATTTGGAGGATTCTTTGCCAGTGGATTTAAAAGAGCTTTCAAAATCAAGGTGTGTAATGATTCCTGTGAGCTGGTTTTGTTTTGGTTTCCTCTTTGAATTAGATAAATTGCTGGTTTCGGTTTGGTTCTTTTAAATAGTTTGTTGTAGTACCTAGTGTTTCTGCTAAGGTGCAATGATGTTTGAGCTGGTTTTTTAGCACCAGCAGCAGTACTTAGTTTTATCAGATATATGTGTGTGTTATTCTTAAAACTTTGCATAATCAACATGTGACTTTAGTGTTGGAAATCTAAGAATAATTTGTTTTCATATTTTGGTTGATAATTACTCTTCCAAGTCATGTTGCAGAAGTGGTTTAGACAAGGAAGATGTGAGACATACTTGACATGAAAGGCAGTCTGTAGATGCCTAAGAAGCACTGACGATGGTTTACCCTTTAGATTGTGTCTGGCTGTGTTTCACCAATAGTATTTGTGTCGTACGCAGATGCTGACACGTCAGGTTCACCAAATCATCAGAAGTTTGGCTGCCTTTGCCAATATGGTGCTGCCTTGTAACAGGAGTGTGCATTGGCAAATGATGTGACGTGCTAACCTCTGTTTATTGCAAGGTGTGCGCTGTCGCTTGTGGCAGTGTTATCCCTGGCTGGTATTAAGTGGCAGCAGGAGTATGGGAAGAGGGCAGACCCAAATTTTCTGCTGGCCTTCTTTATGTCTTGGTAGGACTGCTGTAATTCTTATCCTGTTGCTTGTTGTTGTTCTTGTTGTCCCCTATGTCCACCAGTTTTGGCATGTGCTTTGCACAGAATCATATAAAACTCTCTGTGTATGCTGAACTCCCATACATGTGCTTGTACTTACTCCTCTTTCTTATGCTGGTCCGAGCAGCTTGTCCGGCACTTTGCTAGCTACAGCCTCGTGTGCTATCATACCTGTATGTCCAGGTATCAGAAGACTGTTTGTGTGAAGAAGGGCTTCTGGGGAAAAAAAGGGCTTCTGAAAAGCAGCACTTATTCTTAAAGTAGAACATTAGATTTTTTTTTATAATACTTCTGGTCCCGAGAGTGGTGACCAAAGGACTGTCGGGAAGACAGGGATATTGTGGAATTGTTACTGAAGGCAGCACATGGGTTAGGCTGGACACTCCATGCCTCCCCAGCACTGGAGGGCTGGAGTGGCACTGGCACAGGACTGATTTAACTTGCTGGCAGTTGCCCCACATGACTATGGTCAGGGTTTTCACCCAGCAAGTACACAAGTGAGTGTGGGTGACAGAAAGGATGTACAAGGGTAGTTTGACTGATAAAGCTATTCTACAGACAAGATCGGGGAGCAATAAGGTATCAAGCTTTGTTTGCATCAGAAATTTTTTTTTTTGATGTAATGATAACTTTTTCACTACAGGGTTTTTTGATTCTGTTAAATATATTTACATTGTATGCACACATTATGGTTTTCTGTGGTTATCAAGAACCCAGTGGAAGAAAAAGGGCAGGTGAATGGGAAGTTTGACTTGCAAAGCCAGTGTTAGACAGTGGAAAGAGTCCTCAGGTTACTGCTTCTCTTGTAGCAAATATATATTCCCCGGTAACAGGCGCTTCACAGCAGCTACCAGTAGAAGATAAAGCAATAAAAATGTTAAACAGGAGAATTAAATTCTGCAGAGGCAAGAAATGACAGCCATTAGCTGAAGAGGCTTGCTACAAAATGAAGTATGTGGAGGCACACAGGTGTACTCAGTACTGGCAAACCTGCACCCGATCTACCGCTGTCCTCTTGTGTAATACTGTAAACAAGTTGCTTCATCTCTTCTTTTTCTTCTCAGCCCTTGACTCATCATTGCAGTTAAAAACTCCTTTAGCAAAGGAGGCTCTTGCTAACTTTTGGCTCAGTGCAGTGAAACTGTAGCTTAATTGCAGCCTTAATGTGCTGCTGTCAAGTGACAGATCGTTAGTGTGTTTCCTAAGAATCGTTTGACCTTGGTTTGGTGTTTGTGTTGTTTTTTTTTCCCCCTCCCCGTCCTTCACACCCAAAAGGATTTTGCAGACACAATCCCTGGGCATGGGGGAATAATGGATCGCTTTGATTGTCAGTACTTGATGGCTACTTTCGTTCACGTCTATATCACCAGTTTCATAAGGTATGGGCTTTTTACAATATTAACTACTTAAGCTTGCATAGGAGCTGTACCATAGTTACTTCATACAAGTTATGTTCTGCACTGTTAGCATAGCGCAGATTGCAGGTTTCTAAATCTGATTTACACAATGATTTCAAATACAGAACTATTAAGAAAACATATGTCACTGCCTAGGAGTTGTGTCAAGTTCAAGCTATGCCGTAATGTTTCTGTGACTGCTGTTAAAGGTAACCTGTGTACCCTAAGTACCAGAAAGTTTTGGGTAGCAGCCTCTTAGAAGTTTTACTGGGATTTACTGATGACAGGGAGGTATGGGGATGGGGTTTTGGGCAGGAGGGTTGCTGCAACATCTGCTTTCCCTGTGTGGTTCCTGAAGAGCCTGTAGGCTGTGAGACTGCAGTTCTTCCTGTAAGTTCCAGTATTTCCCAGTTGCTTGACTTTGGATTTTCTGTTTAATATAAAACCACTATGGTTAAAGAGAGGAGACAACTTCTTAAAAATACTGCTCATCTTCGCTGAACCACACCAGCTTTCAAGAAGAAACCATAGGAATGACAATTCTCTTACAGTCATTTTAGTTCCTGGGGCGGGGGGGGATCAATGTCAGTGTCCAAACTGATATAGGCCCATAGTTTTGTAAATGCCTGTGGCTAAATAACTATTAGATACCTGATCAGCAACACATTCTTTGCCTTGTATTTGGCCCGTCTGAGAAGCAGACTGTAAATAAGTGACTAGCTAAAAATGAGGCTGTAAAAAGCTTGGTTTAATTTACAGTTTACTGACTTCGCCTACTTTCCATTTAGTTCAATAGTACACAGCTTATTTGGCAACAGATACTAAACTAAAAAGGATCTGTTGATGAAATGTTGATTACTACGATTAAGGATTAATCAGTGAATCTTATTTGTCATAAGCCTTCTTAATATCCCAATTTGACAGAAAATACCAGAAATGCTTTTTAGTTTCTGTGCAGATTGAGCTAAGGAGAATGCTTTGCCAGTAATGCTCACCCATGCATCCTGAGGAGACAGACTGGGAGAAATCCATAACAGTGTCCCCCAAAAAGGGAAGGCATTGTTTGTGCAAGAGGAAAATGGAAAGCTGTTGAAAAGTTTCTTTAGACCTGCTGCTCACAAAAAGAATTTCTTTTTTAATTGACAGGGGTCCAAATCCCAGCAAATTACTGAAACAGCTGCTGATACTTCAGCCTGAGCAACAACTAAGCGTGTATAAAACCCTGAAATCTCACCTCATTGAAAAAGGGATCCTGCAGCCATCTGTGAGAGGGTAGTTTGTTAAAACAGCGGACTAGAAGAAACCTCTGTTTACAAGAAGCCTGTGGAAAAGCTTTGCAAATGTGCACATAAATAATAGCTAAAGGGAGAGTGGTTTGTGGTCTGGAAAAGGTGAATGTTTCCTGAAATGAATGTGAATGCTGTGATTTCCTGTTAGGACACAGAAGATCTCTTACTCCTGAAATAATTTAAATGCTTGCAAAGTAACAGTACACATGCTGTATATTTTAGTTCCTGAAGTGGATGGCAGCAGTCTTCCTTTAGCACCCAGCCTGACAGTCTTTGTATTAAAAAAAAAAAGAAAAAGTAAAATTTATTGTTAGTTTTTAATGACTTATTTAATCTTGTCTATCTTAGCAATACATTTTTGGTCTCCAGTGGTTACTGAAGCGTAAATAGATGAGGCAGGCGGTCACTTTTATGTAGCCCAGTGCTGAAATTCCAATTGGCCAGAAAATACTTGTTAGTCCAGTCAAAGAGGTACTTACAGCCTGCTGTATCAGACTACTTCTATAAATCACTATGAAGGTTAAACTTAGCTCTGCTTTTAATTAAACAGCTTTCTTATGAAACTATCCCATGCTTTGAAGAGAAAAGTACCTTTACAAAATTATAGCTGAACTGTTTGGGCTGTGGAGCTGCTATTTTTTTTTGTTATAACAGATAATAAGAAGCATCCAAGAGTAGAGATTACCTGAGCAAATGGGATTCTCCAACACAGTAAACAGACTGGGGAGAATCTGGAGTTTAAGCTCTTATTTTCCACAGCCTGGCCAGTGTCTGAAGACAGTAATTCAAGCCTTATTCCTTGTGCCTCTTAACTACCATGTAGAATGGGAGTATTTCCTTCTTTTTAAAAGCACTTCGAGGTCCTGAGTAGTAAGTGAAGTTGAAATGCTGTTTTATTAACGTGTTACTCAGTGCAGGCAGAAACTTTTGTCTCATAAATGTGCACAGTGTAAGACAGGATGCATGGTTCTTCTGATGTGTGTTATTTATTGAGAAGATCTTCAGGCAAGCTTGGGTAACCACATAGGTGTTTGAATGGAGAATTTTTATAAAAAGCAGCTATTCGTAGACTTAGTGGGGCATATGAGGAAAGCTGATGCTCTGTAATTCTCAGTCCTAGCTGTTTTTTAACTTTCTTCATCATGTGACATGTCTTGACACAAATAAAAATATAAATTTTTTTTAAATGACAAAAATTACTCCTGTAAAAACAGAAAGCACAAATGCCAATTTTATTTTGGTATACTGTAACTTCATACATTTAATACTTAATACATTTGATTTTTCCAACTAATTGTAAATAAGTTTCTCCTGAGGTGAACGTACTGATGCCACATATATGTGTGTGCGTATAGAATATTAAAAGGTGTATGTATATGTGAGGTGAAAATTTTAAACGATTGGTGCTACTTCAGGATAAAACCGTGGAGAAAATCACTAGGGTGGGTGATAAGCTGTATCTGTGAAACTCAGAGTGTTTTTTGTTGGACACCATGCAACTGAGACCATGCACTCTGTTTTGCACTTAGGCCATGACAGCACGTGTACAGCTTGGGTATGGAAAAGCACCCCTATACATGGCTGTGAAATGAAATACAGGTCTGAAGTAATTCCTGTTGATGTCAGGTATTTGACAGAATTAGGTTACGTCTGACCTGCAGATTGCAGTACTGTATGGAAGGAACACTCCAAGAGGTGAAAAATGTCGCCTGCTACTTCTCCATCAGTGGCCATGCCAATTACTTGGTTTATTAATTGGAAGGGACTAAATTTCAGCCCTTCCACTGGAAGGGCAGCATATCCTGAGGTTCAAAGGTAGCACAGCCAGGGAATATGACATGTGGAAAGGTGCTTTAAAAAGAAGGGAAGGGAAAATGAGAGGGCAACCAAAGTAGCATACCTAGAAAACTAACTTTTAGATGAGGCTTTGGTTATGTGCAGGACTTTGGTAGATGCTTATGAAAAAACAGCCATACTGGAGCTGGTATATCTGTATGCTGGGTATTTAAAAAAAATATTAAAAATTTAAAAATTAAAAAATTATGTATAAAATATGTATATAGAGAAAGGTAATTGTTACTTCAGAAACTTCAACTTTGTAGTGTAATTTTATAGCATGTATAATAAAGAAGTTAAATATATTTTAGCATTTAATACAACAGAGCATTTGAAATTAATTGCTATCTATTTGCACAATGGAATGTTCAACACTGCGATTCTGCTGCTCAGTGTTAAAATGAAGAAGGGATCACTTGTGAACTCACTCATGAATTTTCTGGACAGAGTAATAGCTTCCTGCTGGCTTAGGCGTGGTATAAATGAAGCTCAGCAGCACCTGTCACTGTGAAGTGACAACTATGCTTGCTTACTACGAAGTGCACTTACCCCACTTGTTACTTCTGTTAGTGCAAGCATTGCAATGTGATCAACAGGAAAGTTAAACTTTTTACACCAGTGGTTCTTTTCACTTGCACTTTTGTTCCAAGTTGCTATAATTACCCGTTGAGCAAAAAAAATGTATATTATGTAAATATTGTAAATGGCATAAAATGTCTGGTTTAGTTTGACTGTTTCAATCTTTCATTGAAGCAGGCATTGTAAAAAAAAAATAAAACCATAAAACTGGGACAGAAATCCTCCTGTCTTGTATTTCCTATAGCATGCACAGTGGGTGGAGATTTCTTAAGGAGAGTTTATATTCCTTTACATTATTCCCTAAAGTTGTGCCCTTAATAGCAAAGCCAGCTACTAATTTCCTACCTTTTGCTCCTCAAGACTTCAGGCCATGCTTGACTACTGCTGCAAGCAACTTGTACAACGTGCCTCATCTCCAAAGACATGCAAACTAGTCATCTTTTCCCAAAGGTGCTCCCTTCAACATCATGTGCTCTTCCCCCCAAAGGGATGGTGCACAGTGCACAATGCAGCGTGGCTGCTGCAGTTGCCTGGAGCTGACAGAATGGAAAAGCAACCCTTTCATTGCTCTTTGCAATTACTTTCCACCTTGTAGGAAATACTGCTGCCTGCGGCCTCTATGGCACACCAGTGAGAGGCTGGCAGAGGCTGCAACAGGCATCAAGGCCGGATCCTGGCTCTCGTCATTCTCCCTGTGGTTCAGAACCAGTAAGAAAGGCCACTCACTTGGGCTACACCAAACAACCAGAAGTGCCGCTGCGAGTGCAGCGCTTGCTCAATGGGCGGGCTCCGTGCATAGTGTTATCGTGAAGGCCTTAGTATAGTCAGAAGAGCAGCACTTGTTTGCTTATTTAGGAATGTGTTCGAAACCTTTGCCTTCAAGCTGCCAAAAAGATGAACAAAAGGAGCCTTTAAATCAAAGGAACTGTCCTTGAAGGAGATAAGAATACTCCGAGAAGCATGCTTGTGAACTCCTGGTTGGTTTTAGCCGGTTTTGGGAAAGAAGTGATGTCCGAGGTTAACCTATCCTTCACTGTAATATATTATAATACTGAAAGTCACACCCCCTGGGGGAGAGACCCCCAGACCCTTCCTCACTGAACACGGGCAGTGTGAAAATGCTGACCAAGTGTCATGTGGATGATGTAACCAGTCAGCAGCGTGGGACTGCCCCATGGGCTGAAACTTGTTGATAAGAAACCGAATAAAGGAATGCCTGCTTCGATACGTGGTGTGCGTGCTAGGAGGAAATATCCCCCATGCATCTGGTGCTGTAACAAAAAATGCTTGCTTTATAAATTTCCAAAACGAGTTTTAGAGAGTCTTTGTTTTTGCTGACTTACGGTACCAGCAGGGACGCTTCCTGGGATGGCCCAGTCGGACTTCCTCTGGCCCGCACTGTGTCACAAGGATAGCACTGCTGCTCCTGGCCACCACTGGTCCCTCTTGCTTCCACTCCAGGTATCTGCAAAAAAGTGGCAGAGAGGGGAGGGTGCAGCAATGCCAAGACTAAAGCTCCTGCTCTGGGAGGACTCAGTGACTCCTTTTCCCACCCTGCCACACTCTGCCTCTGGAAACGAGTAATCTTTCCATTTACTTGGTGTCAGGGGTTCTGAAATTTTCTTGTTTTGCAACCTCACTTCCCATTTGTTATTCCTGGTGCTGCTGACACAGGCCGGTCAGTATCCACTGTGCGTGGGGATGATGGGGCAGCAGCTGGCCTCTCCCCTGCTTTCCTGTTCCTTCCCTTTTAAGTCTTGCATCCGAGGCCCTTCACTTCCTGCAGCCTCAGACAAGCCCAGTAACAAATGCATCTTGTTTCTAAATTACAAAGAAGACTGTAACATCTGTTAAACACTCACCATCAACAAATCATGTCTGTGATGTGCATCTTGGAATTCAGGAAACTACTGGAGAAGTACAGAGGGAGCTTTCCCATGGCTTGCATCCAATTCCTGATGCTCTTCTGAGGAAGGGAAGGGCAAAGTTAGCGGTGAGTTTTCTTCTGCTAGACAGATAATGTTTTGGACTGCTGCTTGCAGAGAAACAAGAAATTTTTATCTTCAAAGACAAAACCCTTTAAAGGCATGCTCGCTGAGAGAGTTGGAAGGAGCTGCTTTCAGGGATACCAGCGTAGCAGTGGACTGGCCTGACAGCGAAAGTAATCCTTGAGAGGCCGTGGTGGTCTGGGGAGATCCCCACTGACTGGAGAAGGGGCAACATCACCCCCATTTTTAAAAAGGGAAAAAAGGAAGACCTGGGGAACTACAGGCCAGTCAGACTCACCTCTGTGCCTAACACGATGATGGAGCAGATCCTCCTCGAAGCCATGCTAAGGCACATGGATAACAAGGAGGTGACTGGGGACAGCCATCGTGGCTTCCCCAAGGGCAAATTGTGTCTGACCAACTTCGTATCCTTCTGTGATGGGGTTACAGCGTTGCTGGACAGAGGCCGGGCAACTGACATCGTCTGCCTGGGCTTGTGCAAGGCATTCAACACTGTCCTGCATGTCCTTGTCTCTAAATTGGAGAGACAAGGATTTGACAGATGGGTTGGTACTGGGGCCGAA